AAGTTTCACTGACCTCCCATGTAGAGGACAAGTTTCTTTCTATTATCAGTTAATCAACCCACAAGATTTCTTTATGCACTTAGCACTACGCTGGGTGTTTGCACGGTGTTGGGAGAACATGATATAAAACATGGTTCCTGTCTTTCAAGAGTTTGTAATCTAGTTGGGGAGAGCAAAAGAAGCTGCATGGAATACAGAAAAGATTATGATGGTGTCTTGTGGGTAACACTCTTTCAGAGGAGATTAAGAACAGTGAATAAAACCAGGGATGCATGAGTCACCCTAAAAGGAAAAGTACCCTCTGAGTGATAGGATGTGGCTGAGAGAGAAAGATTGAGTGGAGAAGCCAAGAAGTAATGATGGAGGGCAGTGCACTCCCAATGGTCTAGATATGATATGGTGGTGATCAAAAAGAAATAGGTAGCCGTTGGGGAATGAGAGGACATGAGACATACGTTGCTCCAGGGGGTTAATCAGGCAGTGTGGGCAGCACTGACTGGACAAGGGGCACGGGGCTTAGAGATTGTTGCAGGACTCCAGATGGGCCCAAATGGAAAGGCAGCTGTATGCAAGAAGACAAGAGTGCGGGTGTGAGAGTCTCAGAGAATGCTTAGCAGACCCGGTGGGTGGCTGGATTTGGAGAATGACTGTGGGTACCTCTGTTTGGGAAAAATTCTGACACCTAAGGGTTCCATGCTGCCCTCCTCAAGCAGTGAATAAGCATGTCAGGTAAGGTCACTCTTCTCAGACTTCTAACTTCTTGGCTAGGAAGTACCTGAAGTGGTTCACAGAAAAAACTCTAGAAATGGCCACAGTAGCATGTGAAATGTCTGGACTACCTTAGGTTCACCCTTTTGGTAAAATCTTAGTTTCCAGTACTCATTCATTGGTAAATTGCAAACAATATCTCCCTCTATTTTGCCTTTTTCAACAGTCTCTCCACCTTCACTAATTATCTGTGCATACATATTAAACAGAATGGCCAATATAAACCAGTGTGCTTGGCAACTAAAAATAAAACTTACTGTTCTGAATGCTTCTCATGAAACATAAGATGATACATTATCATGTTTTCAGTGGAGGGGTTGTGAGAGTCAGCTCATGAAGTGAAATGAAAACATGTTGTTTCCACTGATGATTAGTTAATATGGAGACACTGGTTTCGGGATGGGTGTTCGATAACGTTGCTCTGACGAAGATGCTGACAGGCCCCAACACCCTGCTCCTAGGGTGTGTTAACCCCCAATTTAATTTCACAATCCTAGATCTAGTTCCTAAAGAAGCACCTTTAAAAACAAGATTCCATACTCTGGTACAAATATATATTTTATCTTAAGGGGCGGGGAGGCAAACATTTTGTTTTTAAATAAGATTTTAAATATATTGCCATTGAACAGTCATTAAATTAAAACAATACAAAATAATTGATTTGTGTTCCATTTCCTGACCCACATTATAATTTTTTCTCACCTGTCTTTAATCTATTTTCTATCAGCAACTTAAATGCTATTTTACCAAAGCTTTAGCTTTTTTCCCCAATCCAAGGTAAACCATATTCTATCCCGGGCCCATACTATCGACTTTCTCTCCCATCCCTCAGCCCACCCCTGAAGTTTCCCCTGCCCACATCCAGGCCTTCAGCATAAGAAAGTCCGGGGTGCTTCTCAAGGAGGGAGAGGTGTCTTGGTGCCTCTGCCTTCTCACTCAGGGGGCCTCTTCCCCGTCAGCACTCTCTTCAGGGCGCCCTGCACATCAGGGTTCCGGAGGCTGTAGATGAATGGGTTCAGCATGGGGCTGAGGATAGTATTGAGGATTCCAATCCCCTTGCCCTTTTCTGAGGCTGAGACTGAGCTGAGACGCATGTAACTGAAGAAGCCAGTTCCATAAAAGATACAGACCACGGTGAGGTGGGAGCCACACGTGGAGAAGGCCTTCCTTCTTCCCTCAGCGGAGCGGATTCGTAGAACTGCAGCTGTGACGTGGGCATAGGACAGTGAGATCAGGATCATGGGGATCACCCCCATGAAGATGGCCCCAACAAAAAGCAGTTGTCCGTTGAGGTGAGTGCTGGAGCAGGAGAGCTGGAAAAGGGGTGGGAGGTCGCAGTAGAAGTGGTTGACCACATTAGGGCCGCAGAAGTCAAGCATGGACACAGCCACTGTGTGAGTCAGAGCATTGATGCAGGAGATGGTACAGCAAATGCCCACCAGGACACCCTGGACTTCACGGCTCATGCGGGCACTATAGGTGAGTGGCTGGCAGATGGCCAGGTAGCGGTCATAGGACATGGCTGTCAAGAGGTGACAGTCCACACCAGCCAGGAGGTGGAAAAAGAAAAGCTGTGAAATGCAGGTAGCATAGGGGACCCTGCATCGGTGGGCCAGGAGACATGCCAGCATTGGAGGAATGGTGACAGTGATGCACCCAATGTCCAGCAGAGACAGGTTCCCCAGGAAGTAGTACATAGGAGTGTGGAGTTTGGGCTCCACAAAGATGGCAGCCATGATGCTGACATTGCCCCCAACTGTGACTACATAGGCAAAGAGGAAGACAGCAAAAAGGATGGTTTGCAGTCTTGGGTTCTCTGTTAGGCCAAGGAGGATTAACTCAATGACAGTTGTCCCATTCCCCCAGGCACCTGGCTCCATAGGACACTGATAAGAGCTGTAGTGGGAAGAGAAGACTTGGGCCTGCCAAAGGGGGAGAGAGGCACCCAGTGGACACTTAATTAGTGTCGACTGCATGCTGAGATAACACGGCATGGGCACTTACCAATCAGAATGGATACCAGCCTAGAGCTTAGCAGGCTCCTGGAGGCCCCTACCATGTCAGATGTGAACCCTTTAATTGCTGGTTCAGGTTGAGGTCCAAGGGATCCCAGGGAAAGGCTGGAAGGGAACTAATCTGGGGAGGCAGGAATGTGGCTATTTACCAATACAATATGGAAATGTTTTAGTGTTTTAAGAACTATTAAGGTCATATCAGTGTATAGTGACTTAATAGCAGCTCTGACGAGCTCAACAAATAATGATGTATGAGGTTCTAGAAAGCACAATATAGGAAAGTAGCAATAAAGAAGGGTAGGAGGACAAGATCTCATGA